ATGTCACTTCGGCCACTGCTCAAACATCCTTAGCCCTACTGTCTAGGAAACCTGATATACATATCGTTTTAAGAAAAAAGTGTTTGGTTAACTACTAATGAGATCAAAGAGTTTATAAATGAAGACAATAAACATGAATTAAGTCAGGGATATAAACTTTGTCGAATCCAATCGGGGAATATGATCACATCCTCATCTCCAATGGGGAACTGGGATTCCCAACCGGGAATCATGGATTATTTTCCCTGTTAGTATAAGATATTTTAAATCGACTATGTTAAAAACCACATTCGATCATTAATGATTCATATTTAAATTTCACATATTTGCAAATTTTGCTATTATAGAGTATCAAACATTCATATGTGAACAATATCACAACATCATACGTAATTGTTTGATAAAATACTTTCGACTTTATAACATTTTTTATCTAAAAAAGATAGATAACTCAAACGAAATGCATATATATAAGAAAGATGTCAAAATCTATTCTAAATCTAAATTCTATAAATCTAATTCTTTATAAATAATATATTTAATAATAACTATATAATATAATATGTCGGGGATCCCCTGGTCCTTGGTTTTGCTTAGGGATGGTAATAGGGCGGGGACCCCAATCCCCGTCCCCGATCCCCGATCTTTGTCCCCGTCCCCGTCCCCATCCTCACTGGGGAATTTGATCACATCCTCATCCCCGTCCCCGACGGGGAACGGGGATCCCCGACGGGGAAACGAAGATTTTTTTTTCATGTTTGTGTAAAAAAAAATTAAATCATATGTGTGAGACGCTACACATGTTTAAATCTCACATTTTTCTGATAAACCTAAAATCAAAAGAAATTTAATTTAATACAAAAAATATACATCATTATATAATAATTAACAAAATGGAAAACAAAAAAAAATTGAATCTAAAAAAAACTAATGTCAAATGTACCAAAACAAATTGAGTAATATCCAAAACCACATATAGTAATATCTAAACTATATTGAAATAAATAATATATAATATAAATTATTAATATATATATATATATATATATATGGGTACGAGGGGCGGGGATTGTGATACCCGTCCCCGTCCCCATCCCTGGTTTGAGCCAAACGGGGATCCTCGTCCCCGTCCCCGAGACCTAGTTTAACGGGGAATCCCTGTCCCCGACCGGGTTCCCCGACGGGTCGGGGCCAATTCCCATGCCTAGTTTTGCAGGGAATCCTTGTCCCCGTCGGGGCGGGTATATTGGGTTCCCCAATGAGACGGGTCTCATTCCCATACCTAGTACCAATTAAGTTGATACCAGTATTTGATACGGTTAATATACATATTGGCTGATTTAGTTTAGTACAAAATTACCACCCCTACCTGCAAAAACTAGTTTTACCGAACTTTGGGCACCGCTTGTGACAAAAAACCTAGTCTACCAGGCTTTTTCGAACCGGCTTTAACCCATGAACTTTTTGAGGTTAGACTTGGTTTCAAATATTTTTGTACATCTTAGCCTATAATGTTCACTTTTAAGTCTATTTCCATATGTAGTTAGGATTTTTACCAAATTATCATTAAAAGTCATTTCTTTATCCTCACGTTAAAATCATAGAGAATTTTCTAAACTTGAAGTTTTCTCTATTTTATAGAATTGTATAGTAGATCCGTTGAAGCAAAATAGAGAACAAAATCTCTATTTACTCTATTTTAGAGAACGTGATGAAAATATAACGACTATCATGCAACCATCTCTCAGAAGGACAGAATTGGCTAGTGTCCATATATATTATAGCTATAGATTGTCTATTCGCCTCTTACTTCAAACACGTTGGGACGATCCTTCACCACGATATCATATATATGCATGGACTTGAGCTTATTAAAGTCCTTAGGGAGAGAGATGAGGTGCACTACGGAGCTTTTATAAAACTAAAACAGATCAGGGTCATCGTAGTACCGCCCCCACCCTCTCAGGCACCTCATACGAAGTAACCACTTGGTTAGTAGCTACTTGAACCAATACCTTACAACGACTTGACCCTTGGAAGGAAGGGTTGTCCTAGAGTCGAACCACACCGTTCTTGAACACCCAAACATCCGCCATATATATAGATACACAAGAGTGTGTATGTATATGTATGATGAATGGAAGATATTGTAAGTGGATATAGTCACGGTTGGGGTTAAATATCTAAAAGATCATCATATATACATATATATTATATATATATATATATATATATATATATATATATATATATATATATATATGCCAAGTGATGTTCGTGGGGACCTTGGCTCTGGGGATAGGGATGCAACTAGGGATTTTGTCTTTTATGACCCTAGCCCACGTGTGTATGTGTGGGGGAGGCCACTCGAATCCAATGCAAAAGTCCTTTTTACCCTTAGACCACGTGTATCTCGTGATCAACCGGACAACAGAAACACATGAGATTTAAACGATTCGAACCTTCAAATTCTTTGGTTGGTGTTTGTGTTTTGAGGTATAAAATATGCATTTGACCAAGTAGGCACCATGGTCCCTCCCATGGGTTTAAAATGGTTAACTTTGTGCATCAAATATGGTCCCTGCATCATGCATGGCCTAGCTTTGCAATTCACATGAACAACCTTCGTGGGGTGTGTGGGTGGGCACCTTTTGTCGATTCAAATGGACTAGAATCTCCTTTCTTGCTTCGTTTTTCTGGTGCACGTTTTTATACTCAATATTCGATCGGTACAAGTGAAAAATCTAAGTTTCTACCTTTTGATGATCGTCGGTCTTTATTTAAGTGTATAATCTTAGGGGTCGTTTACAAAACGTTTATCTAGATAAGTGCTTACCAAGTCGCATTATCTTACGAGATGGATATGGCAAGTACCAATAATCTTACTCGGTAAGAACGAATACAATGACCAATAGCCTTACCCAGTAAAACAAATGATATAAGAGCGAAGACAAATGATATAAGTTAACTTAAATTCATCCAAACGTGTATCCAGAATTACCAAACAATGTTTAATTTGTTTTTTTTCTTTCTCACGTTCTACGTAAGAATGTAAAATGGATCAACATATATATTTTATTTGGTAAAAACCTATTTTATCCTAGGTATTATTGCTTACATTTATTTAAAAATTACACTCAGCTATATTGTATGAGTATACAACTAGCACCTAGATGGACAAAAAGAAGACAACAATTAAACATGATCGGCATTTTATATTATCTGCTTTAAATCGATGTATACGACAACATTGCACGAGTACCTTACTAGTTAGTTTATAATATCATGAACATATACATATAAAACAAATGTTATAAGTTTCACATCATGAACATATATGCAGGTGAAATAAATAAGTTCTAAAACAGTATCTTAAATCTAAACCTTAAATGAAACAAATGTTTTATATTAAAATACTTTTAAGTGTATCTAAAAAACTTATTTTAAAAAATAAAATAAAAATATTATATAACAAATATAATCAAACATATGAAAATAAAGAACAGATCAATTTGGTCGTTCAATCGGACTACATAGGAGCCCTAGATGTTTTTGGGCCGTCCAAATCGTTCTCGTCGCTCATTTCGCTCGAATCTTTCGCCATTGCTCACCTACAACCTCTTGCCGTCGCTTAAATCTCTCCTCGTGGTATGCATCGTTTTCTCGAACAAGTTAGCAATTTAAAGTGATAATAGAAGAATATCGATTTTTGTTTAATACCATTTCTGAAATCCCGTTCTTCTTGCTATTTCATCTGTCTATAAACAATCGACATTATCGTGTGATTGAAGCAAGTGTGATGATGATTGATTGTTACTTCAATTTATCAGCTGATAAGTCGACCAAGGTGGGGTTAATTTTGACAGATGTTACACACTGTACAAAATTAATGACAGATATGCAAGGAATCTAGGAACTAGAAAGAGAGATATCAATTTTTTGAATTGTGACTGACCTGATATATCTAATTCTGATGCCACTATTGACATTTTGCTTGTATAACACCTTCAGTAAAAGTAAACCATCATTTGCAGCTCCTAAAAGTTTGATTTTTGTTGTTGAGTTCCTTTTTAATGCTTGTTGAACTTCTGTTTCGGAAAATATATGGGTAAGCATGTAATGTGAAACAAACAATATGCTCATCAATATGATATATCGACCGAAAGAAGTGGGGTGGACATCAAAATACATGATATATATTAAAATGTCAATGATTTAGAAAAACCTAACGAATTTTTCGATTTTGAATTATTAAAATTTTAAACATTTTTTTAAATAATGTTGTCATTTTAAATGAGTTATTAAATTATTATTTTTTTAAAATACAAAAAATCTTTTATGATAATTAATTTAATATTATATTGTATATAATATCATAAAAAAACTATATTCGTACAAATAATTCAAAAAGTCTTGCATAAAAAATTGTTTTTAAGAGTTTTTATAAAATGTTTTATCTATATCTATACTATATTATAAAGTATTTGACACGAACTCTTAAAAACCATTTTTTATGCATGAAATACTGTATATTGATGCATATTACTTAAAATTCAAGATTACAAGTAAATTATACATAAGTTTAACTTATTAAAGCTTCATGTTTGAATTTGTGTAACTAAGTGCAGATAAATATAATCAAATAAAGGATAAACATTTTATTTTAAAAAAAATAAAAAATAAAATATAATCAGAATAATTATTAAGTTCTAACAAAATAATTAATTATTATTTATATAAGAAAATTATATTATTAAACCAAATTTAAGTTATTTTGTTATTCAATCTAAATTAGATTATAAACAAATTAAATTAAAACATTATACAAAAAAATATAAATTTTAAATAGCTAATTTGATATTAATGTCGATATATTTTTGTTAAAATTTTATGATATCTTCAAATTTATATTTTATTCAAAAATATAAATATCATCGTTTTTTCAAAATCATATAAGATTATGCTATAATACTGACCGAGATAAAAAAAATAAAATAAAATATTAAAATTAACATGTATTTTGCTACAATAAGTAATTACCCTTCTAATAATATAATATAAATACGAGATTGTTTTAAATCATATACTAAATAAGATATTATTTCTAACCATTTATAACACAAACGAAAATCATATAAAAAACCAAACTACGATATCGTTCTTTCCTAACTTGGACACTTGATATCACGAACCCCCGCAACCGCCACCACCACAACCGCCACCGCAACCGCCACCACCGCAACCGCCACCGCAACCGCCAGCATCCGACAACATACTGCCGAGCAACATCCCACCCAGTGCTCCGCCTAACAAACCGGTTCCAACACCCATGCCAGATCTGTTGTTTATTGGAGGCTGTTGCGGAGGATAACCACCGTACACCGGCGGTGGTGGAGGAGGAGGATAAGAAGCATACGCATATCCAGCCTGTGGCCGAGAAGGGTATTCAGTAGCATACGGCGGTGGATAACCGGAGCTGGATCCAACAGCTCTCCCGGGAGGATACGCCATCACCGGCTCCTCCGCCTTACCGGAGAATTTTTCCCCAAATTTATACGAAAAGCTGATTTCTCCTTTTGGCTTCCCCGATGGCCTTCTCACCTGATAACTAACAAACTGCATCGCCCTCCCATCAGATTTCACGCCTTCCATGAGCTCTTTGATCGACACATGGACTTCACCCTGTTCCCTATTCACGAACATCCCTACGGCCTTGATTTTGACGATGAGCGTCAGACAGTTGTGCATGGCGGCGGCTTCATCGACGGTAAACTTCATGGGGAAATTCCATGTAGGATTTGGACCTGCGCCCTTGTTCACAGGGGTTCTAAGCTTTTGAAAGCTGCCGGAGATGGAAGCGACGGCGTAGACGTCCATTTTTCCGGCGAGAGTGGCATTCTTGAGTCCTTTTGCAGAGATGAGAGTGAGGTCTAAGGTTCTGTACTCCATGGATGATTGATGAAACTGAAAATGGAAGAAATTAAGGTTGAGAATATGTAGAGATTCTGTTAACCGACTTAAGAGGAGGAGATATGATAGGTACAAGGAAACAAAAACGAAGGTGACAAAATGGATAAATATTTGAGATTACATTCTATCTATGGCTTTATTTAAAATATGGAGTAAATTACACTTTTGTCCTTGTTGTTGTTCTTATTATCAACTTTTGTCCATAAAATAAAATAATTATACTTTTGGTCATTGTTGACAGTTATAGTTAGACTTCAGATCATGTAAGATCAGGTTATTTTCATGAAACCCGTAAGACCATATAATATGACATTGAACCTTTACATAAAAACACCGTGAAGGTAAGTTTTCATAGTTTGGTGTGAAGTTTCGGTGTTTTTCGTAGCTTTACAGTGTTTTGTCGTGAAGTTTCAGTGTTATTTTATGGTCTCACGGTCTCATGGAAACAGATCGGTATCACGTTAACTTAACCCCTTATGGTTATTGTAGTTGTTATTTTGTTTTGGAATTGGTCTCATTGATCAACTCTATTAAAAAAAAATACTCAAGGTGTTGGGTTTTACATGGTTTTCTACAAATGATTTATAAATTTAAAGATGAAGAATCGTGTAAAATATGAGTTAAAAGGAGAAACATAAGAACTGTTGTGGACCTCTTTTAATTATCTCACTCCCACCCCAGTGCATTTCAATGTATCTTATTACTGTTGATCTTCAATTATGATTGATCTAAAGATGAAGATTTCTTGGGTATTTTTTTAAATTGAAATAACTATTGGTACAGTTTTGTGAGTGTCATTTATGTAAATAACTATTGGTAATTTTATATCACGCATGTAAATAAGTATGAAACATAAACAATATTATATGTAATATAACATTAATAAATACTAAATCAAAAATATTATTTAAAATCGAATAAACTAAAACTATATGAATATCAAACTCTGAAGACTATTTCTGTTTAAAAATGAGGTTTTTCCGACGATCAAATCCGTTGGAAACCAAATTTCCAACGAATTTCGAACCGGTAGAATATGATGTTTACCAAGAAATACCAACGGATCACCCAGAAAATACCTGGGTAATCTGTCACCGATTTGAATTACTGATTACCCACCAACTTTAGTGACGGTTTTGTGAGGAAGCACCCTTTCACCTACGAGTTTCCCATGGAAAATACGTAGATGAAAGTCTTCCATTTATCAGTGTTTTTACTGTGAATGTTAGAAGTGATTAACAAGAACTCATTCAAGCGGTCCAAGAGGTGAACTCAAAGGTCCTACGAAAGCCGGATTATTTCACATGATCCGAAGTAATTTGGTATTTAATTACATAAAAACATTTTACATCTTACCAAATGTTGTAAAATCATCTCCAACGGATTCTTCAAAATGGAGAAATCAAAATTTAAAATCTCCAAAAATAAAAATTACGTTCATCTCCAATAGCTTCTCCATTTTGGAGATTACAATATTAATTATATTATTAAAATATTCAATGTAATTTATAAAAGTATATTTTTAAACATTTAATTTCAAAGATTTTCATCAATAATGAAAATTCTAAGCAATTATTTGTAGAGAATTTTCCAAATTTAAAGAATTTCAATATCTCTAATCTTCTATTTTCTTTATTTTGGAGGAAGTTTTGAAGAATCTGTTGTAACAAAATTTCTCATAATCTCAATATTAAAGAATTTGTTAAAACATAAATCATTAAAATCTTCATTATTGGGTGGTATTAATGTACTAGTAAGGTACTCAGGTGATACTACCATGGGCGGACTTGTAGTAGTGGTATGGGTGACACGCGCCACTGTATTATTTCGCTACCGAAAGGTAAAATTTTTAGGTTTGTTAACGGTGTTATCGTATTATTTTGAAAGGTGCTACCGTATTTTTTCTAAAATTCAAACATAGCAATTAAAACCCAAACAAAATAAAGCCCAATTGTCCAAATTAATAAAATGCAAAGCCCAATTAACTTATTAACATTTTCAAAATTTGATTATATGATTAAGCCCAAAAAATAGCAACGGTTTTAATTTTTAAAGCCTTTAGGCCTTAGGGCCTAATTTCCTAAAGCCCTAAATCGTATATAGACTATACCTGGCAGGCTGGCCTTGTGCGATGCGACCTTGTGCGAGCAGTGAGCGAGTGAGCGACGCGAGTAATGATCTTGAGCGAGTGAGCGACGAGCGTGAACGACAAGCCGACCGACAACCAGGGCCACCAGGACACTGTCAACAAGAAGAATCGATTCGATTTTGGAACGAGTCTTGATTCTTGAAGACTCGGACGATTCAGAATCGAAACTCACTCGAAGAACGATTCTCACTGACTCACTTCGTCACTCGGAGTCTCGGACGATTATTCAGATTTCAGAATCGATTCGATTAGGTTTAGGTATACATTTTTAGTTTTAGTTGATTATTTACTTGATTAGTGATTAGTGATTACTTTTAGTTGATTATTTACTCTTGATGAAATTGATTGAACATTTGAGCCAGGGACGGACCCATAAAATTGTCCATACGGTGGCACCATATAATTAATATAATATAATATACATCTAAAAATAATTATAAAAAATATGATTTTTATGGTACCGATAAACAACTCCTAAACTTGTACCCGACGCGTTTTCATCTTTTGAAAACGGTCAATATATACCCAAAAATAATTACAAAAAGTATGTTGAGAAACAACTCCTAAATTTGTCCTCGGCGTGTCTTCATCTTTTGGAAACTATCGATGACATCTTCGTTTTTAACATTAACCCCAATAACGTCTTTCAAAGGAAAGATGAAGACATTGATTTGATATTGGCATGTCTTCATCTTTCAAATTAATATAAAACGTCTATATGACGTTTTTTTGGTATCGTAATAAGTTTTTTAGGACACATTAATATAAAACGCCTCATTAGCAACTTTATATGACACTATTTGAAAAACTGTCGTATAAAAACAAATGTCCTGTAAAAAATTGAGTTCATATGACACTTTCTCAAAAGTGTCATATAAAGTTGCTAATGCGACACTTTATATTAAAAAATGTTCTAAAAAACTTGTTAAGACGTCCAAAAGCGTCATCTAAACTTATTACAACATCTTTAGATATGACACTTTATATTTTGGTCATATAAATTAAGCTCTATAAAGCGATCTATTGGGACACTTAGAGATTATGGGTGTTCTATAAACCTAATTTAGTTGTAGTGAATAAAAAAAATTATGTTAAGATTGTGAAAAACATGTTTCTTTGTGTGAAAAAGATTGGTAGATGATGTTATGAGATCTTCCTCGTAATCATTAGTTCATTTTTTATTCTTCCAAACTCTTGAGATTAATCGATATGCAAGCAAGCTAACATAGACACCATGGTTGAAATTACATTGGCTAATGTAAAAGTTTTTTAATGGGTAAAATAAAATACAAGTTGAGAATTCTATTCTTGGTTGCTAATAGGGGTGGTAATTTTGTATCAAACTAAACCAACCAACATGTGTACCAACCGTACCAATTAGTTGGTACCGATTATTATTGGTTGGTAGTACCGTACCAAATATACAAACTTAATTGGTACATGGTATTGAAAGTTGCATACTATGGTAGGACCATAGTACCGACTTCTTTGTTTTATATTAGTTTTTTGTATATTTATGTATTTGATATTAAACCTTGTAACTTTAATTATCTTATTTAAACATTTGAATGTTCACAAGTTTTATTCCTTGCAATTAAAGCCCGTTAAACATCATATGTGTTACCTGGAAACTCAAATTTTTCACTTCAATTTTGAAAAAAAAAATTAGCATGTTTTCGTATGTAACGTGAAGTTGGTATGAAAGCGGTACCAATCGAAAAAGTTGGTACCAAGTACAATTGGTTGGTACACGGTATAAGATTTTGCATACCAATTATAATTCGATGGTATACGATATTGAAGAAAAAAGCTTGGTACTGTACCAAGTCGATGTTGCTACTATGATTTTGAAGCTAACACTTATGATTTATCAAACTGAGAATGGAAGAAATTGAGGTTGAGATTATATATAGATTCTGTGAACCGACTGATTGAGATTGAGATATAGAGATAGAGATAATATAAGGTGATAATCTATACTATATTATAAAGTATTTGACAAAAATTCTTAAAAACTATTTTTTATATACCAGAAGGGTGTACTTGCGCAATGCAGCGAAATACATATTGATTTTAATATTTCATTTTATTCTTTATCTCGGTCAATTTTATAGTATGGTCTTATATGATTTTGAAAAAAAACGATGATGTTTTTAATTTTGAATTATTTATAAACTTGAAGATATCATAAAATTTTGACAAAAATATATCGATATTAGTATCAAATTAACTATTTAAAATTCCTATTTTTTGTGTAACTTTTTAAATTGATTTTTTTTATTATTATAATTTAATTTAGGTTCAATAACGAATTAATTTATATTTGGTTTAATAATATAATTTTTTATAAAAATAATAATTAATTATTTTGTTATAACTCGATAATTATCCTAATTATATTTTAAATTTTTTTATATTTTAAAATAAGATGTTTATCCTCTATTTGATCATGATTATCCGCAGTTAGTTACACGAATTAAAACATGAAGCTTTAATAAGTTGTACTTATGCATAATTTACTTGTAATTTTGAATTTTAAGTAATATGCATCAATATACAGTACTTCGTGCATAAAAAATGGTTTTTTAAGAGTTTTTGTCAAATGTTTTATAATATAGTATAGATAAGGTACTGACTATTGATGCATATTACTTAAAGTTCAACATTACAAGTAGATAATGTAAAATTACAACTTATTAAAGCCCCATGCTTGAATTCGTGTAATTAATGTGATACTAATATCAATATTTTTTTAAAATCTTAAGATATCTTCAAACTTATATTTTATTAAAAAAAACATTATTTTTTTTCTCAAAATCATATAAAACCGTATTATAACATCGATAGAAAACGAAATAAAACGAAACATTAAAATCGAAATGTATCTCGTTGTATTACACAAATACTCTTCTAACAACTTCTAATAACCCTTATCCGTCCGCATCCAGGAGAATTCAAACAACAAATCTAACATCTAATATTATTATAATAAATGAAAATATGGAATAAAGTTATGTATTATACAATTAACAAAAAAAAAAATAGATCTATATATTTTTATTATCTTCAGTTATTTAAACTTTTAATAGTGTACACACATATACATATACATATATATAGGTGGAATTTTAAACTAGAACACCTCCATTTTACAAGAACGCGAGAACACTCTTATCACATGTGATAATACACGTGATAGGCCTGGTGGTATGCAGAAGACGTGTTCTACGACTTAGCCCGTGCCAAAGGTTGTCTGCGTCTATGATTTAGCATCACATGTGATGGTCTTGATAGATTATAGTATCATATCAACAATACCCTTATCACATGTGATAATACATGTGAGGGGGCTTAGTGGTGTAAGGGCGACTTGACCCGCAACTAGGATCGCGTCGAAAATCTTCTGCGTCTCTGATTTAGTATCACATGTGTATCATATGTGATGAAATAATAGTATCACATATGATTATCTATTGCAAAAGGTGTTGTCCCAAGGTTCACGACGTTGATGATGTATGCCATAAGAGATACTAGATATCTCGTGCTCCCTTCATCTCATGAAAGTTACATTCGTTCTCATTTTGCGATGCCTCGTTAAAATCGCCAAGTTTGGGTTCTGAAGTATTTTCTTTACGTAGCTTCGCGCTTGTTTGTGATTATATTAATCGTCAACAAACGATTAGCCTTCCTGTTGAACGGAGGCTCGCCATTTACAACAACCATTTCACTTAATAGAAAGTACTGCTTTTTTCCAAGTCCAGTATTTCCGTAGAGTAGTCGACTATTGACAACGTGAGCTTGGAGTAAGTTAGCGAGGCTACTCCTTTGAGGCCAGAATATCATGGGTTTCAGTAAATAAATGTTTTGCTAATTGCAAAGTCAAATTCCTTTAGCAGATTTCATTCCATCAAAATCTCTTACATTTTATTGCAATTTGTGCATTAAAACATGTACAAGTACATACCTTCACTTACATTATCAAGTAACATTTTTTACCCGATTTTTTAATAAAATATTTTACCCTACCTGACTATGTATTCTACCATATAAGATTTAGGGGTCGTTTCTTAAACACTTACTTGGTAAGTGCTTAACGTGTAAATTTCCTCATCAGATGAACATGAGAAGGCCAAGAATGTTACCTAGTAAGAGCAATGAGAAAGATGGAGAGTCTTACCCGGTAAGTGAGGATAACGACTCTTATACAGTAAATTGTTGCATTTCATATGTTTTGATGTACTAAAATCTTACTTACGCATATAGAGTTGACTCCTATCGGTAAGCGCTTACCGGGTAAAGCCTTAACCGCAACCGCCACCACAAAGGCTACTGTCACAAGTGAGAGGATATGAGTCGGACACACCCAGACCCAGTTTTCTCTTTGGAGATTGTTGCACAGGCTCATTTGCGAGGGGTAATCTTTCCCCAAATTTATACGAAAAATTGAGTTCCCCTTTCGGCTTGCCGGACCGCTTTCTGATCACCGGAAAACTAACAAAGTGTATGGCATTTTCTTGGGTTTTTAGAAGGTCTTTGACGGGCACATGGACTTGTCCCAATCCGATATTCATGAACATCCCTACGGCCTTGATCTTGACGATGGGCGTGCAACGGTTGCTGAGGGCGGCAAGCTCATTGACGGTAAACTTGATTGGGAAATTCCATGTCGGATTCGTACCTCCGGCCTTATGAACAGGGGTTCTATGTGGTCCGTCGTCGAGGCCGGAGATGGAAACGACAGCATAGACATCCATTCTTTGGATGATATTGGCATCCTTAAGCCCCTTTGCAGAAATGAAAACGAGGTCTAAGTTTCTGCAATTGACCATTTGGTGAAAATGAAATGAAGGTGGAGAGTATATACAGGAATTCTGTTTATGTTTATGTTGAACAAACTCCAGGGTTTATATTTAAATAAACCGTCCATTTTTTAGGATTCTGTATTATTTTTTTATTTAAATTACCTATTTGTTAGGCTACTCTTCCGTATCTTTCTAAATTTCTTGATTTCTATTTCAAGGGGTGTTTGAGATTGCTTATAGAAACAACTTATTGACTTATTCCGGTATGACACCGATAATAAGCACTTTTGGTCAAAGACCTTCCAGCCTAGTGGTAAAGGCTTGGGCATGACATAGTCATGAACCCGAGTTCGAGCCCTGAGAAAGGAGTGTTGGCGACATTTAAGTGAGACCATGTTTAGCCTCCAAATTTGCCGGGGATTAGTCGGGCTTTGGCCCGGACACCCTTACAAAAAAAAAAAAAAAGCACTTTTGAGGATAAATAACTTATACAGGTGCCAAACCGGTAATAAAGAGTTTTTGAAGAAGTTAAACTCTTCTGACCTATAATATGTTGATAAGTGCTTTTGTAAAAAAAACATAAGTTGTTTCAAATAATCAATCTCAATATATAGAACTTATTTATTCAAACTAAGAACGTAAGAGTATAACGGGTATACAACCATCTTCTATAACAATAGAATAACATCTATCTATGGGCGTCTCGTACTTCAAACGCGTTGGGACGACCCTTGACCACAATATCATACAAATGCATGGACTTGAGCTTATTAAAGTCCTTAGGGAGAGAGATGAGATGCATTGTCGAGCTTTTATGAAATTGAAACAGATCAGGATCGTCGTAGTACCTTTCCCACCCCAGAGATGAGAGCATTCTCTCAAGCACCTCATACGAAGTGACCACTTGGTCAGTAGCTACGTGAACTAGTACCTTACAACGACTTGACCCCTTGAAGGAAGGGTTGTCCTGGAGTCGAACCACACCGTTCTTGAACACCCAAACACCCGACATATGTAGATAGCAAATATATAGATATACAAGAGTGTGTATGTATATGTGAGTAATGGTTGTTTATATAGGGGTTGGGGTGAAATATCTAAAAGATCATATAGATGCCAAGTAAGGAAGAAAGTATTCGTGGGGACCTTTGAGACTAAGGATGCAACGAGGGACATTGTGTTGTATAACACTAACCCACGTGTGTGTGTGTATGTGTATGTGTGGGAAGGCCACGTCGATATCAAAGTATTTATTTTTTCCGAATCGTATTATCCAAAGTGTCTTGGTTTTTATTTAAAAGAGAAGATTGATCATTCTCAAACAAAACCTGGTTTAGCAGCCATTTCGAGCTCGTTTCGGGTCTCAAAACCGCGTTCTACTATTTCCCATAATTTTCCATTTTAATTAATTTTGTAATTGTTTGGTTTCCGACCCACGGGCTAAACAAACTAAACTAATATGCTCTAATTTTGTGTCTAGATCGTCTAAACTGATATCCTTTAATTTTACGTGTCTAAGATTTATGATAATATGATGAGCGGTTATTAAATATGGATTTGACCAATTAGGCACGATGGTCATGGTCCCTCCCTTGGGTTTAATATATTCCAACTTGATGCGTGAAATATGGTCCCTGCATCATGGTCCTTTGCAATTCACATGACCCATGGGTGGGGGTGTGGGTGTGGGTGGGGTGTCACCTTTTACAGATTCAAATGGACCACGACCTCCTTTCTTGCATTTTCTTGTGTGGTCAGGGTGTCTTTGGTTCTCGTAAATTGATCCATACACCCACCCATGGTTACCAGAAATATCCATGTCAAACGTTTTTATATTGAACAAAATAAATGTCTGCATTTCTATTTTAGTTTGTCCCAGACTGATTTGTCTGTTTTGAAATATAAATGCATATTTTCCGATCTTGTCCTTAAATATGAGATGGAGAAGTGCTTTACTTCCTCTATTACTAAAGGTGAATTATCATTTAGTTGGTTATAAAGTATGTGTATAAGTGTATTCTTCATTGTAGACATTTATTTTGGGACAAAATGAATAACACCTGGATCTACCACTACTCGTCTATCTATCACCTGTCGATACCCTAGGACAATATGTGTCCATCTAGCCTCCATTGGAGAGGGTAGATATATGTAGGGATGGCAAAAAAATGACCCAACCCGCTAACCCAACCCAAAATTAGCAGGTTGGGTTGAGATTTTCAACTCATTAAAAAAATGGGTTAATCCGTCTAATCCATTTAAATCAATGGGTTGGGTTGAATTTTTTGACCTGTTTTTAACCCGTTTTCAGCTCATTTAAAATATTATATAGTTTTATTTTATTTTTAATATTATATCTAGTATTCTAATTTTTAATTTTGTTTTATTCTTAATTAAAAAATTTACCGTCATGAGATGAAACTCCAAATTCCAATTGCCTCCATTACTTTTAATCATCATGAAACCCTAAGACAACTCTTTAGTCCATTACTCCATTATCGCCTCCAAAGTCCAATCCAACTTATTTTGAACAATATATTTATTGTGTTTGTTTTTATTCAAACTTTGAACAATTTGTTTGTATTTTATTCAAAAAAATTAAATAGTCTAGTCTTTTTTTTATTTAAAATTTTAAAAGTAAATAGGTCAACCCAACTCATTTATTTAACATGTTGAGTTAAGAAAATCGTAAACAAGTCAACCCGTTGTCAACCCATTTAAATAACAGATTGGGGTGGATTGAAAAATCTCAACCCATTTAATTGGGTTGGATTGAAATTTTCAATCGATTTAATAAATGGGTTAAACCCAAACCCAACCGACCCGTTACCTCCGCTATTAAAGTCATCGTCTAAACTTCATACATGTTAGAACCTCTTCTTTCTGGTCAGAAAGTAATTTGAGAAAATAAATTAGGTGGTACCAGTGAGTCAGTGACCTTGTTATCTGGTTAGATTGCTACTTCGTTTATTCAATTTCCTGCACATTACATTCCTCTGCCATTTGCAGACCAAACGATGATAAAATCGTTAAAATCAGACACATAATATCAGCCGCCGCAACCGCCACCACAACCGCCACCGCAACCACCACCACAGCCGCCACCGCAACCACCACCACAGCCGCCACCACAACCTCCACCACACCCACCACCACCGACAGCACCTGACACTATACTACCGATCAACATTCCACCCAATGCTCCTAACAAACCGGCTGCCAACCCCGAACCAGAACTTCTCTTCTTCGGAGGCTGTTGTGGAGGGTACCATTCGTACCCTGGTGGTGGTGGAGGCGGGCAATAAGCATACCCCGGTTGTTGCTGGTGGTGGTCATAGGCGTATCCAGCCTGTGGCTGAAGAGGGTCCACATATGGCGCTGGATACGTGGAGCTCGATCCAACCACCATCCCAGGAACACAAGCCATCATGGACTCCTCCGCCTGACTGAATATAAACGAAAAACTGAGGTACCCTTTCGGCTTCCCTGACCGCTTTCTCACCTGATAACTAACGACCTGCATCTCCCCTTGGGTTTCCATGAGGTCTTTTATGAGCACACGGACTTCCCCCAAATCCCTATGGAAGAGCATCCCTGAGGCCTTGATCTTGACGACAAGCGCCAGATCATTTTGAAGTACGGAGGCTTCATCGACCGTAAACCTCATGGGGAAATTCCACATGGGATTCGGACCTCCTCCCTTGTTAACAGTGGTACTAAGCTTTGGAGCCCTGCCGGAGATGAAAGCCACCGCGTAAACATCCATTTCGTTGATAAGTTTGACATTCTTAAGTCCTTTTGCAGAGATGAGAACGAGGTCTAGAGTTTTGTATTCCATTGTTGATTGCTGGAAGTTGATAAAACAAGAAGTTAAGGTTAAGATTATATACAGAAATTAAGTTGATGATGGTGATAGGTTAAATGGAAACAAGAAGGAAGGTGAGGATTACCATGGTACATGGCGGACTAACCAAGCCCAGAAAGTATACAATAATATTCAATCCTTAAAATAACATAAGTTATGCTCAAATTGGATGTATAGTGAAAAACAAGAAATTAGAAGACAAAAAAGAGAGAGAGACAAAGACTATGAGTCTTATCAAGTCATGTTACCTCACCGGATGAATATGTGAGGACCAAGAATCTTACCTTAACGGATGAATATATAAGGACCGAGAATCTTACTTCAACGGATGAATATGTAAAGACCAAGAATCTTACCCGGTAAGAGCGAGACAAGGACTATGAGTCTTACCCGGCAAGTGACGACGACAACTCTTATCACGGTAAGCGCTTACCGGGTAGGTGGATCTCCAGAATGTCAATTCAAAGATGTCCTTAGATTGTTTTCCTTCTAGATCCAATATCATCACTGCTGGATTTTCTGTTCACTTCGTTCCTTTACATCTATTTTCTTTGTTTTCTTACTTCTGATATGGTTTGCAAAATTTTATATGTTAAGAAGCTTTAGGGGTCGTCTGGTCTAAGCATTTACCCGGTTACATACCATACTCGTTTAACATGAAAATGGGTCGAGAATCTTACAGGTAAGAGGCAAGTTAAGAAACTAGATTCTTATCTATTGAAGGTGACGACACTCTAAGAACCACCTTCATAGTCGATTCATTAGGCCTTTGAGCCAACCTTCATGTATAGACTATTGTATACGATGACATTTTGAAGGCCAAGAATTTTACCTAGTAAGGTTAACTGAGCGGTGACTGTATAAGCCATATGGCTTATTCGTACAACCATATCTAGTTGTTCAGTATGGGCTTACTCGGTCTGCCCATGGGTGAACCACTCAGCTACAAAACCTATGTCCTTTGTATTCAGCTGTTAACTTTCCTCAACCACCCCTCTCCCAAGTCCCAACCCCTCTCCATAACCACTCCTCCCTCAAGAAACTTTAGTTTTATTTCTATCGAAGATGCAGCAGAATTTGACTCAAATTTCTTCATCTCTCTTATTATATTTCAACTTATCGTAACCCTTTCTTTTATACTTACATATGATGTTGGGAAGCTAAGAAAAATAAGGGGTCGTTTACCAAACGCTTACCTGGGCAAGTGCTACCAAATCATATTACACTACCGGATGAATATGGTAAGGACCAAGAATCTTACCCGGTAAGAGCGAGACAAAGACCAAGAGTCTTACCCGGTAAGTGAGGGCAACGACTCTTACTACGGTAAGTGCTTACCGAGTAAATTGTTGCATACGATGTTGTTTTGATGGACTAAAATCTTATCTAGTAAGTAAATGATAGTTTTAATTTTGCCGGTAAGCACTTACCGAGTAAGTGTTTGGTAAACGGCCCCTAAGTAATTCACATTTGGTTTATGATTACCGAGTAAGTGTTTGGTATCGTGATCCTACTTATATTCTTAACTTAGGGTTTATTGGATCAGTCGTCCAAAACACAGTTATTTAAGCAAATGGATAAACACAACTATTCACTTAAATCTTGTTATTTTGGCGTTCTTGTCTCATTCTGCAATCATCCATATGATTTAAGCACCGACTATACCGGAAGCCATAAACCTTGACAAAGTACCTTAAATGGACGACATACAGTTTAAGATTGTGAACGGTTTAAACTACAGAAAATATTATAGTTTAAAACGTTTGATTTTAACTCTAAAATTAAACGTTGTTTTAAAAGATTATCCAATTAAAAATCAATTTTATTTTGATAATCGTATCAAATTTTAAAATATCAAATTCTTATTCAACGATTTAAAACATTTTGCGCTTGATTTAATTTTTTAAAGGTTTGCAATTATAACAATAATTGAAAGCATATAAATAAATAAAGTGCACGCACAAATAGCATAATATCATCATCAGCCCAAGGGGCATCATCCTACCCCAAGCCCGCTATACTATAGTCATTGGCTCCTCGCCTCCTCAGTCCAAATCCGTCCTCGTCTTCCTCTGCAGTCTTCCTTAATCGTCTAATCGGCTAATCTCCAAACTCCCGTCCGTCCTCGTCTTCCTCTTCCCTCCCGGCTCCCGCTCCGACACTCCGTCTTCGGTCTTCCTCTTCTCTAATCGGCGCTACCTCTCAGGTACTTTAAAACTTCGTTTGGGCCTTGGAACTTTGAAATATTTCTGGTTGTCTTTTGCAAAGTAATAGGCTAATAGCATAAACTGAGAAATCCCATTACAGATTACAAGCAAAGAAACTTGTCTCACGAAATGCTCACTATCTACAAATTCTATTATTTAAACAAAGAGAAAGAAATCTACTAAACATTTTAGTCACTAGGTATTATGCAGGACATAGTATCACAACCTGGCATACAGTCGCACTGTATTCTCAATTTCCCATTTACCTACAGTTCATTTTAGTTTCACAGCAAGCATCCTGGCATTAGAGAAGAGACAAATATTCCTCATTTGAACTAATAGAAATAACATACAAACATAAGCACCTCCTTCAGCATTAAGAATCATCTTTAACATAGATCTTGGGCCCAATGTAGTGCGAACAATGTCAGCCACTTTTTTAGATGAATAGATAATCTTATATTTGTTTTGTTGTTCGAGGTTTTGGTTTATGTTCCCCTGTTGTTTTCAATAATAATCGGTGTGCGGATGAGCCGCCTAACTTGACTAGGTTCCAAACCCCTTAAATTTGTGTCTTCTTGAGTTCTTGGTTCACTGGAGTAGCCGGTTAAGGGTATCTTTTTGGCTCTCCGCTCAGGGCATTAAAAACCATTGGGCCAGCCTTGTATATGTTACTGCCCCTAATATGGTGTCATGAGCAAACGCAACAAATCAACAACCACGGCCAGTCTAAGGACATCTTCAAGCTCCCACTAGTTTGTCCAACTTGGTGAACTCCGGGACTCCGTTTTTTACTTCCTGGAACGCCTTCTTCAAATGGTTACAATTTTGGAAAAAAAAACAATATATCTTATTCTAATTTACAGTTATTCCTATCTAGAAAATTAAAATACAAAAATCACATCTCACGCAATAAAATATATTTTAATTTTACAAAATTAAAGCAACCAAACGAAGGGGGATGCCATGTACTACTGAGATATTTTAAATATAAAATAAATTATTTGGCCAAATTAGATAAACATAAATAACGGCAAAAAAATGGGATAAAATTAATAAGAAAATTTCGAAAATACCGAACACTGTTCTAGGTTATTACCTTGTTTTGTTTGACCTAAAAAGCGGCCCAAAAACAACCCAAATCAATTTGGGCTTTTACCGGGTTAAGGCCCAAAACCGAAAAAACACCATTCCTGTTGGGTTGGCCATGAAAAGCCGTGAACTACAGCGGCCCAAAAACCACAGTCGTGAGGGCAGCGACAAGGCACGAGGCTGCAAGACCGGTGGCAAGATCCAAGGCAGAAGCCGCTGGTGGCCACTCGGTCCGGGATCAACACAGCCTAAGTGTTGGGGCGAAGGGGCAAGACACGCGACCGAAGGCGGCAACGGCCGCTGGCCTAAAACGACGGCGAAATTTGGAGTTTTTAAAAATGAATCACCCAACGGTTCCATCCTCTAATTTGCTAGTAATTACATTCAAATTGGTTTTCAAAATAAATACTCAATACAATCTTTTATTTAAAAGTTATAGAGTAATTTGCAGTATATTAAAAACAATTTACTGCTTATTTTGTACTGGATCGGTTGCTTTAATGTAATTCAGCTTTGGTGATTGTATATATGCAATAACAATTGCAAACTTAGAATTTTCATAAAATATTATACAGAACAACGTATAGTGCTTCTAGGGAGTTTAGCTGATTTGGTAAAAGGATGGGATGACTTTACCCAAATGACAATCCTAGGTTCAATCTCAGTAGTTAAGTGAGCCAAAAAAGTGTCTCATCATATTGGTATCCTTAAAGTGTGAAGCCGGTTAAGGTTGCCGGTAATCACTTTTTTTTTTACCAAATCAAAACAGTATGGTACTTAATAAGTTGTATTTATGATATAGACATATAGTATAGATTAAGATAATACTATAAGGGTACTCGTGCTACTATAAGGGTACTCGCGCAATGCAGCAAGATATATCTTAATTTTAATGTTTCGTTTTATTTCTTCTCTGGAGACGTTATAATACGGTTTTTATGTGGTTTTGAAAAATGGATAATGTTTTTATTTTTGAATAAAATATGAGTTTAAAGATATTATAAAATTTCGAAAATAAATATATCAATATTAGTATCAAATTTACTATTTAAAAGTTATTATTTTTTGTTTAATTTCTTTATTTCAATTTTTTATTATAATTTATTTAGATTTAATAACAAAGTAATTTATTTTTGATTTAATAATATGATTTTTTTTATAAGGATAATAATTAAGAATTCTGTTAGAACTCAATGATTATCTTAATTATATTTAAAAAAATTATATTTAAAATAAGATTTTTATCCGGAATTTGATTATGTTTATGTGCAGTTAGTTATATGAATTCAAAAATGGAGTTTTAATAAGTTGTACTTATGCACAATTTACTTGTACTCTTAAAGTTTAAGTAATATGCATCGAGATACAGTACTTCATGCATAAAGAATGGTTTTTAAGAGTTTTTGTCAAATGTTTTATAATATAGTATAGATGTGTTAAAAACTCGTTCCTCCATCTGATGAACCCTCATCAGGGCATTACGAAGCATGGAATTCAACTCCCTTGTATCACCGTTAAGGATAACAATCCTGACATACAACAAAATCAAAGCCACGATCAAAAGTGTTTACCAGTTGTACATATTCTGTTTAGTTTTGATAATTATCCTTTGTTTATTATCTTTATTCTCTAGCCTTATTTGTAAAGATTGTAATTTGTACTTGCTATAATTATGTTGGTATCAAAGCTTCCCGATCCACTTTATTTCTTTATTTTCCTTTCATTCACTACTCTCATCATGTCTCGTAATGCTGATCAATCTTAAAAATAACCAGTCCAATCATATGTTTGGTTTGAAGGAACGCTTGGATTTGAAATCCAACGAACATGGGATTTGGAAATCCCATGTGATTAGTTGGTATTTAGCGGGATTTCGTCTGATTTGTTTATAGTAATGTTTTAGAATATGATAAAAACATTTATTTTGTAGTAATTTACTAGTGAAAAGGTGGTTTATTTGTTTTATAATTTATTTTTATAAACTATTTATAGATATGGTATTCAATTACATTCCAAATCCAAATCTCCTTTTCTGGTACAAAAGTTCCTGAGAAATGTCTTACCTTTGAGTGTGGTTTGAACTATTGATTTACGTAATTGAAAGTAACTAATTAGGTTTATGACAAAACCTAGAAATCGATCACTGATCGAATTTAAGTACCTCTCCCCAAGTGATAAAAGAAAGAAGAAACAAAATCCAAATTCTTTAAAAACGTGTCATCAAACCAAATGGACCCTCAATGAATTCTCACCTTGAATCGAAGAAATCCACTTCAATAGTTTCTTCTATTTGCTTACGCTCGGAGTTCTTTGTATCTATTTACTTTTCTATGTTAAAAAAAGCCCATTTTCGTATGCAAATTACTACGTGTAGTAGCCGCGGGATGTTAGACAATTAAGTAGAACACCATGAAGAATTAAGGATATAATTAATTGTCTATATAGTTCTTTGAGCGTGGTTATAGCATCGGCATTCTACACATGGGCATCACGCGTGCCCTGGATACAGTATCATATTTGAATGCTCAGACAACACTTCAAAATATAATTAACAAGCCAAACCAAACCAAACCAAATTAACAAACCCAATATATATCATCTCATGTGTGTAGGGTCTGGAGGATGAAAAACATACACATACATGGATAAAAATCACTTGTCTTAAATATTCATGTTTCATACATATCCACCAATCATATGAATACACATAAGCAGAGAGAAAGTTAACATGATACAAATAAATTTAAAATAAATAAAAATCTGATGTGTCTTAATTTTATTGGTGGAACATGAATAAGATGTGTGATTTTGTTAGAGGTGATTTTTTTTTCCAACATGCATGACCTCTGTATATTTTGTAGAGCATTTGTTTTCATGAATACTGATCGAAGATACTGATTATTACAAAATGTGCACAAAAAAAAAAAAGTGGCAATACCACGTAATATGAGGTGTGTTGTGGGCATATACTACAAGTTGAGCCTCTAAAGAGTTGTTTTTATGGTTCTGTAAAGAGCACCATTTAATTCACCAAGGTGTTCAAAAAGAAGCAAATATTGATGGCAACATTATATATCACAATAGATTTAATTTTAATTTGAGTAAGGGGTCGTTTACCAAAGTTTTATTTGGGTAAGTGTTTACTACGTCACATTACTTTATCGGATGAATATAATAAGAATCAAAAATCTTACCCGGTAAGTGAGGACGACGGCTTTTATCACGGTAAGCGCTTAAGGGGTAAATTGTTGCATACGACGACGTTTTGGTAGACTAAAATTTTACCCGATAAGTAAATGATAGTGTTAAATTTTACAGGTAAGCGCTTACCAAGTAAATGTTTGGTAAACGACCCCTAAACTATGTTTTTCCGTACCTGTGTCTTTGTTAAAAATTGTGATTTCTGTTCTTGTGGTTTAGATATTGCGTTTTTCGTCACTATAGTTCGTAAATCATTGTTACTTCAGTCCTTATGATTTATAATTTATTGTTGTTTCAGTCTTTGTAGTTTAATTTTTTTTTTTACTATTTTGGTCTCTTATACTTAAAAAAGTAAAATTAGTTTATGGACGAAAATAACAATAAATTACAAGCTATAGAGATGAAAACTGCAATTTTCAAATTACAGGAATAAAAAATGCAATTTTTGACAAACTATAGGGACGAAAAATGTAATTTAGTTGATTCAATTTGGTCTGCAAAAATGGAGTCATATCATCAACTTGCAAGTTAAAATAGTTTATTTTTCATTATTTTTTGAGCTTAATTATGCTTTACACTTCTACGGCGTCTTTGGTATTTGTTATTTAAAACAAATTTTTTTTTTTTTAAATATTTATCAACTTATGTGGTGTTAAATTAGAGTTTTATAAAAAGTGATTGGATTTGTTTAAGACGGTACCAAAACGTAATAAGTTGATAAGTTGTTTTTTAATATATAGCAAATTATGTTTATACATGTAAAATGATCAAAAAAGACATGAGAAAGGAGGAACTGTCGAAGGTCACTTATATGAGGAAGAACGCTAAACCCTTTTCAAAAAGTAATCCAAAAGGAAGAACCCTAAACCTTTTTCGATTTCTATAGGAACTGGTTGAAGGTTTCGATCAGTTTTTGTTGATGGAGAAGAAATCACAGCAAGAAATCTGGTTCGATTTATAAGCAATGGTTGAAGGTCCCTTGATGAACTGGTTGTTTGAGGTAGGAGACGTATGAACTGGTTAAAGGAAGGAGGCATATGAGGTTAAAAGGGTAAACTGGTTCTCAAACCTAATAAGTTGAATTTGTTAAGTTAAAAAGGAGTAACTTATCAAAAACTTTTTATTACCGATTTGACACCGATACAAACATCTTCTTTTTCCTCCATCTAAACCCTAAAAACTCCTTATCACCAGTAGCATACCGAAATAAATCAATAAACCCTTTTTAGTTGGGGCAGCACTGGAACCCAATAAAGGTGGTGATGAAATCTTTAAAGTGCAAATTAAGCATGGTCCAATACGTCATTCTACATGCATTTTGGACTTCCAAAGGTGCTCAATAAAATCATATGTGCCTTTAATTTCTTTTCTATAAATACTGCCATTTGTTGGAACCCAGAACCCACCAAATCACTTCATTTCTTACCTCTAAACTCTTCTTGCAACCTTAGTTATAACCATGGCTCCTGTACTCGACTTCCCTATCAACGTAGGCCGAATAGACGATGTCCAAGAACTGAAAAAGGCCCGAAAAACCGAAATTCCAAATAGGTTCGTACGCGATATGGCTGAGAGGCCTATGCTAGCGGCCACAACCCATTTCCCGTTGTCGACTAGTATCCCTGTCATTGATCTTTCAAAGCTCATGAGAGGAAACAAACAAGAATTTCACTACGAAATCTTGAAGCTCTCGTCGTCTTGTGAAGAGTGGGGCTTCTTTCAGGTACGTGCAAACACTCGTGAAATGGTATCTTTTTTTTTTTTTCGGTAAGTAACACCAGTTTTGAAACCTTTTCAAAAAGCATGTGTCCTCGAAACTATTTACGAGGGAAAATAAATCATATGTTTCATCTACGAAGGAAAAAATTTTGAAATTTTTGTTTGACAAAAATACCCTCATAAGAAAAAACTACAAAAACAAATATAAATGGAATATTTGTAAAAAAAATGACAACTTTTCTTTTCTTTTATTATTATTTTTTTAACTAACCTGAATATTCAACCCGTTATGCGAGTCGTCTAATCCTAGGACGACCAGTTGCTTTACAGATAGCCTGGAGTCTCCGCATTTGAACCTCCGTGGCCATAAGATAATTTTTATTCCTTCTTAGATTTGAACATGTAACCTCCAGATACTTTTGACCTTTAGAGCCAAGTTCAAACTAATCATTCACCACCCTTTTAGTTTTCTTTTATTATTTTCTAAAACATGAAAAACTGATTTCGTTGCCGTATTCAATTCCCTTCTCTTCCGTTCCTTTTTAAGAACACCAATAACACTTGCATGCAATGAAGCTTAACCCTATATATATATATATATATATATATACATACATATATATATGTGTGTGTGTGTGTTTCTGCAGGTGATAAACCATGGGATTGATCTGGATTTGCTGGAGAAGATAGAGAAGGTGGCGATGGAGTTCTTCATGCTTCCAGTGGAAGAGAAACAGAAGTATCCAATGGCACCAGGAACGGTTCAGGGTTATGGTCAAGCTTTTGTGTTCTCAGAAGATCAAAAGCTCGATTGGTGCAACATGTTTGCTCTTGGTCTGGTGCCACACTCCATAAGAAACCCTAAACTTTGGCCAACCAACCCACCCACGTTTAGGTAAATCTCCACATACATTTGACTTCCAATTAATGGTTAAATTAGACTTGAAGTTTTGTATCAATTAAACGCCCTTTTTCCGGGGTCTTCGATCCATTCGTCGAAGCTGGTTTACGAAAAGCGCTTGTCTTTTGCAGCGAAACCGTGGAGAGTTACTCGAAAGAGATCAGAAAGTTGTGTAAAGATCTTCTAAGATTTATAGCGTTAAGCCTTGGGGTTGGTGGGAATGTTTTTGAAGAGATGTTTGGGGTGAGTGTGCAAGCGATGAGGATGAACTACTACCCTGCATGTCCTAGACCCGATCTCGTGTTGGGTTTAAGCCCGCACTCGGATGGGAGCGCGCTCACCGTGTTACAACAAGGAAAGGGAAGCACGGTCGGCCTCCAAATACTGAAAAACGGTACATGGGTGCCCATTCAGCCTGTTCGAAATGCGCTTGTGATCAACATTGGTGACACCATAGAGGTAACATTTTTTGGATCTTTTTCAAGATTCTTAGCGTTAGAATTGTACTCGAAACGAATTTATCACAAAAAGATTCGGAGTTTGCCCATTTTGGACGGTTGTCGAAGGCTACCCTGAAGTTTTTTCTAAAGTATATATAATATTTATATACGGCAAATACTGACTGGCACAGTTATTGTTCTTCACAACTTAAAAGAGACATTGTACTTTATTTGGACGGCTAAAAGATCGTTTTTGTTGTAGTGTCTTGTCAAATAACTGTTGATGTTAACAGGTTTTGACGAATGGGAGATACAAGAGCTCGGAACATAGAGCGGTGACACACAAAGAGAAGGATCGACTGTCGATCGTGACGTTTTACGCTCCGAGTTATGAGATAGAGATAGGTCCAATGGCGGAAATGGTGGATGAGAATAACCCTAGCAAGTATAGAAGATACAACCATGGAGAGTATAGCAAGCACTATGTAACCAACAAGCTTCAAGGCAAGAAAACACTGGATTTTGCCAAAATCTCACCAAAAAACACATTCTAGACAAGAAACCTCATAACTCCATGAACATATATATATATATATATATATATATATAAAATATTAACTGTTTATAATGTAAAATTGTAATATACGGAAATCTTAAATAAATGATTGATGATTGATGATTGATGATTGATGACTCTATTCCAATTTGATCAAAATATGAAATGATTCATTACAACAAAATTGAGTTTATAAAATATCTTTAATTTTTAAGCGTTTCAGTAAACCGTTTTATAGGACTTAATTTATAAGATCAAAATATAAAGTGTATTATCTAAATGTGTTGTAATAAGTTTACATGACGTTTTTGGGCGTCTTAACAAGTTTTTTAGGACATTTTTTATACAAAATGTCGTATTAACAACTTTATAGGACACTTTTGAGAAAATTCTATAAACTCATTTTTTAATAGGACACTTGTTTTTATAGGACATTTTTTCAAATAATGTCATATAAAGTTGTTAATGGGACGCTTTTATATTAAAAGCGTCCTAAAAACTTATTACAACGTCGAAAAATGTCATATAAACTTATTACGACGTCGAAAAATGTCATATAAACTTATTACAACGCCTTTAGATATGACATTTTAGTTTTTTGGTCCTATAAATTAAGTCTTATAAAGAGGTCTATTAGAACACTTAAAAATTGAAAATATTCTATAAACCCAATTTTGTTATAGTAATTTTTCTTTTGTCCATTTTCAATGGAAAAATGGAAGAAAAAGAAATACATATATATACACGCACATACAGGCAGGGTTTAAACGAGAATACTCTATTTTACGAAAATACATGAATATTTCTAAACCTCCAAATTAGTTAATCCATAATAAAAATTAAAATAAATGAAAATAAATTAGTATTTAACAATAACTTTTTGTTATTTTAGATTTGTCTTTATTCCATAAATCTTGTTGGTATCATGGAAGACTTCTTATTATGTGATTTTGTTGTGATAATAATATGATATAATGTTGTGATAAATTGAAAACCAGATCCATATTCATCTGTTGTACATGTTTGTCCATTATGTGATTCGTAAGTTTTTTTTTACCATTTTACCCCTACAAGCCTTCAATATTCCTAAAACTCTTCTTGAATTTACGTAAATCACAAGTGTAATCGTTTGAACCCTTCCATATATACATAATTATTGGTTATAACTTGTAGATGTCGGTTCACATATGCATTTTTAAATTAAATTTTCAGATTTTTTTCAATAATTCACATATGAATCTTTCTTTCTTACCTTTTTATTTTTTTCATGATATTTAGCCTTCTAATCTAATTTAAATCGGCCCCTATACAATCTATACTATCTTATAAAGCAAATTTAACAAAAGTCTTAAAGTCTTAAAATACTAAATGACCAAAATACCCTTTATATCACTTTTTCACCCCCTCATCTCCTCACATACACTCACCCTCTCACAACCGATTTTTTTAATTATAATTTTAAATTTACACTTTATACCCCTATAATTAGTTAATTAATTTACTTTACGTTCTTTACTTTTAAATGTTTCATTTTAAACCTTCATCAAATTAATATACATAATCGTATATCAATTAAAACATGTTTAAAAAATATATTTTTATTTTAACAAGTTACACCATTATAATCGTCTCGTTAATACCTTCGAAATGAGTTCAATATTGAATTACTTTTGACTTAATTATATTATTATATGTTATATATAATGTGAACAAATATTTTTAATATTTACGATTTATATTTTTATAGTTATTTATTTATATATATACTATATATTTTGGGGTTAGGCTGTCCAAATTGCACTGTATAATATGCTTTGAATTAATATGTTCTTAGGTTTTTTTGAAATACATGTATTAATTCAACCTTAACCTGAGTTTCTGGACAAGAAAGANATATATATATATATATATATGTATTAATTGAACCTTAATCTGAGTTTCTGGACAAGAAAGAGAGTAAGCAATTGAAATTTCATTCTCAAACCCATCTTTTTTGGTCTTTTCATGGCTTATGATCTGTCAAATTTGTAGTTTTCTTTATTGGTTTTGAGTGTTTATTTTAAAACTCAAGTTTCTTGGTTCTTTGCTCTTGGTGTAAATCGAACACATTTGTGGAGTCGTTTAAATATGTTGGATTTTAAATATATTGCATTTTAAACTGTCATACAATTTTTTTCATCAATAGTCTGTAATTGGAACCATAACTCTTATTTATTCAAATTGTATTAATATGTAAAGACCAAATGTAACATATATCATCGTTAAATCTTATCTTATAAAACCAGTGGAACTTCAAAATCGTTAAAATTCATGGCCTCCGCCGCATTGCACGGGTACACAACTAGTAACAGTTTATATGTTATTCTTTTATATATGGATTGACAATATGTCTGGTAGGATTTAAAGTCACAACTGTGAGACTCTTTTGGACAAATACCGACCATTTTGACCGGTTTTTACGCATTGAATCGCTTTTTGGTGAAAAAAATAAAATTAGGTGATGTGACTAATTTATGATTGTTAGCCCCTACAAGATTGAAGCTCGATCATCTAACGGTCCATTTGTGATCTACTGGAAATCCATCGGTGATTGCTGACGGAATATTTTGTCGGTGAAAAACTGCTTTTTAGTAGTGAGCGTATTAAAAAAAAAATACCATCGACACTCATAGATGAATGTGGTAAACGGTTGTAAGCAGAGATACTAACTAGTTGATCCTATAAGATACAACTTTCTAAAATGATCGATTAAAGGATTGGTTATCGAATAACCAGTTAATTAAGGTTAATCGGCTAAGACCAAATGTTAAAGAAAAAGTACCGCATTTGTCAATTACACATTTTGAGTTACATACAGACCGGTTGCGGATCAGTTGTATCGATTTATACAGTTAGACATTTTCGATCAGAAACCAGGATTATTTATAACCCATTACAAAAACCAGTAATAACCACTTTTTCCCACTCTACATGAAGGAGCCTACACCCCTTAAAGATGCCTTCATTAAGTCACTTGGTAAAAGCAATAGTAAACAAAGTATCAAAGTGAAAAAGTTTCAAACATATGATTATGGTTCCCAAAGATTGAGGCAATCATGTGGGGATACAAAACCATCAACTCCCCCATTGTTTTTCTTTATATTTAATAAATTGTATTTCGAGAAGCTGAAGAAGATTTGACGTTGCGATTATAAAAGTAACGGGATTCTACGACCGAATTATGTGGTAACGATCAAAAGCAGTGTAACTCGGTTTCACGAGTTTAATGATGTATTCGCTATGACATAACTTGATTTTGATGACGTTTTCGTATGATTGCAGGTCTTGCAAAGTCAGTATAAGGTTTCTACATACATACACAGATGTAGGCCTTATTAAGATTAAAAATCTCGTAGCGTACTGTATTATGATGGTTGTAAACGTTTTAACCGACCAGTTTTACGGTAATGATTTCGAAGATGAAATCTAAACACTTGGAAGAATTTATGATGTATCGTCAAAGAATTACTTTTCCAAAGACAAAAAATCATGGGTTGGAATTGTTTTGGAGAGAAGAGACTTTGTGGGTGGTGGGGAAGAGAAGAGAGCCCACATATGATGTTGTTGGTGTTGATAGAAAGCACTAAGCAACGCAAGTTGTCATCGCAAAAGCCACTCAAAGAATACATTAATTTGGTAAGTGTTTACCGGTAAAATTTAATACTATTATGTATTTATCGGGTAAGATTTTAGTCCATCGAAACGACATAGTATACAATAATTTACCCTGTAAGAGTCGTCGCCCTCACTTACCGGGCAAGACTCTTGATCCTTGTCTTGCTCTTACCGGGTAAGATTTTTGGTTCTTACTATATTCATCCGGTGAGGTAATGTTACTTGGTAAACGCTTATCCGGATAAGTGTTTGGTTAACGGCCTCTTAGTTTTCAAATATCATGTTTGTTGGCTAAAAGACCTTAAATTTGCATTATAAATATGAGAATGATGATTTATATGAATTATTTTGAGTCAGATCAAAAATCATTGTAGAACTATAAAAGTAAAGGGTCGTTTACTAAGCACTTATCGCGCATGGTAAGCACTTACCTGTTCAATTACTTTATCGGGTGAACGTAACAAGGATTGAGAATCTTACCAGGATAGAGGGAAGACAAGGATCAAAAGTCTTACTCGATAAGTGAGGGTGATGACTCTTACTCCATAAGCACTTAAAGCGTTATAAACGCTTACCATTCATTCATTTTGGCGATTGGGAATGTTACCCAGTAAAGTAAATGAAAGTAGTCTCCCAAAAAGCGTTTGGTAAACGGCCCCCTAAATGACTTTGAATCAGTGCTGTGTTTTTACCTTTTCTTCCCTTCGTATTTTTTTATGGTTGTTTTTATGTGTTTTCTAGATTTTTAACAACAAAGAGACTGAATCGAAAGACCACGGTGACCCAAGATACGTGACGAACTATTCCACGTCCATGAAGTGCTAAGTTGTCAAGGATTACTTTCGGGAGTCAAAACATGATTGTCTTTTTTGTAACTTTTTTTATTCTAAGTTGATACGTAAGATATTAGATTTTAGTATTTTAATGGAATTATTTTCATACCCTTATTGCTTTATTCTACACATTCTTTAATTTATCATTTACCAAACTGCATTATTGATTAGTTCACCATCTGTCGCGAGTCATTCAGTTAAAGGTTAATACGAGGCAGTACACAACCCGTTTTTCATATAAAGGGTGTAAGATAGTTAGGTCTTACAGTTTGTCAAGTTGCAGTTTACTATGATATAATTCTGAAACAAACGTAAATAATAAAAAGGGGTGCAAAATGCTTTTCATACATCAAGTTTAATGCAAATCATTAGATGTTTTTCAACACCTTAAATCAATTCTATACGAGTCGATTGAAGTTTTTACTTCTTCTTTTTTTTATTAACCTGGATATCCAACCTGCTATGCGAGTCGACTAATCTCAGGGTGACCACCTGCTTTGCAGATAGTCCA